TCCTGCTTTTGAAAATACAGAACGCAGGCATCAGTGCTGGTATTTCTTTCTCTTTTCTCTGATGAGGGCTGACGTCTTTTGTCTTTTTTTCCCCTTTTGTCTTTTTAAGGACTAACACAGGACTCAGCATCTTGAAGAAAACTACTGCTTTCAGCTCACTGAAAGGTCTCCAGTTGGGGCCTGCTTCACTTAACTGCTCAAAGATGGTTTCCTGGCATAGGATGCTCCAAGGCATGCGGGGTGCTGAAGCAGGACACCCCTGGCACCTCACAAGAACCGGTTCTGCTTCCAAGGCCTTTTAGAGTCTGGAGCCTGATATCAGAGGCAGGTCATTACGATTTAATCCTCTTGCTCAGAGTAACAGAGCAACATTAAACCCAGCTAAACACGACTCTCAAACAGAATTAAAACAAAAAAAAAAAAAGAAAAAGAAAACAGACAGAGACCTCCAAGTTGAAGAGAAATACAGAAGAGTGTCTGCAAAGGAGAAAGGTTTCTACGACACTCATACTGCAGGAGAAATAAATGACACAGATAGGGTTACTGTTCCCTTTGTTTGCAGTGTATACATATACTTGTGTACACAAGTATGTACACATGCATGCATATATCTGGCTTTGATAGCAACTGCTAATGTAATTTGAAACAGAAGGTAGCACCATTCCAACAGTGGAGAAAGCCCTGCTAGAAGGAACTAAGTTATTTCATTCAAAAATCTTCCTCTCCTTCAGACAGTTCCCAGCGTGATTAAAGAACCAGACAAAAAGAAAAAAAAAAAAGGTAATTTTTACAGTATGATTTAAATCACTCATTTACTCAGCTTCATTCAAACATTTATTTCAATACCGTCAACCACTAAGTACTGACCACTAACTGACTACTTAAGAGTTTATTCTGGCAGCAACTCTTTCAAAAAGTAGCAACTGAATAACTGAATAAAAAGAAGAAACACTGAATAATTGGGATGTGATTTTATAATTCTTCTGGAATACAGAAAAAAGCTGGTTTCAGCAAGAGTGACAAGATTAATACAAACTCTAGAAAAGTTGTCAAAAGGACAGAACTTTAAAGAGTTCAATCTATTTAGAATATCAAAGAGATGGTGAAGATCTGCCCTGATTGCAGCTGACAAGTGTTCACATAATGAGAGGATTTATGATAGAATGATCTATCTAACAGACAAAAGTATGCAAGATCCTAAGACCGTTAGTTCAAGCTAGATGATTTTTAGTTTATATGATTTTTAGTTCTATCCTGAGCATTATAGAATATCTGATGAAACAGGTACTGCATCTCTAATGATTTTTTTTTAAACTGGGAATGGATGTCTCTTTCCAATATATGACCTCTTGTCCAAAAGTAAAATCAGTGCAGGAATCAATGTCAAATTTAATCCTGCTGCTGCAGGACTGTAAGGGTTATTTGGATTTGAACTCTGAATCTGGTTTTAGTCAGTTAATTAGGAGAAGGAAGGGAAAAGAAAAGGGGGCTGCTTCACAGGCTGAGTTTATCCCTCCAACTCACCAATGCAGGTAGTTTATTGAATAGCTCCAGTGGTCTTCAATATGCCAACAAAATGAAGAAAAGCACATTCCTACATATAGCCAGGGTAATTTCATCCCACATATGTCTGCAGTGATGTGAGCAAGAACAGACTGCTCCATTACAGGCATGTTGTTCAAATTCCAGCCACTATCCAGGTACTCCTGAAAGTTCAACGGAACAGCCACAGGTTTACACAACATGGGGTGGAACAAAACAAAACAAAGCCTCCCCCGCTCCCAAACCTAAGGTGGCAAAACTGAGAACAAGAAAAAGTAGTATTTTTCCCAATTGAAAAATATAAGAAATGGGTCAATGAACCAAAAACCTCAAAACCTCCAGCTCATTTGCTCTTTCCAAATATCTTCTCTGACAAGCCATGTTAAAATGACTTAAAAAAAAAAAAAAAAAAAGCCACTCAAAGTTTTTTAGTAAGAGATAAATCTGTAGCCTTTAATGGCTGATCACATCAAACTTTATTTCTCCAAAATGCTGATATCCTTCCCTTCTTCAAGTACTACACCAATTATTCATACAAAATAAAACAAACAAACAAACAAACAAAAAAACATTCAGCAATTCAGTTCCCTCCTTTCTTTTTATTTTGCTTTGGAAAAAAAAAAAAATGAGAGCCTTGTTTTCTGGGTGGAAACTAATCAAGACCTACCTCTTCTTCCGGTCTAACTTTGAATTTCCCATCTCTAACTGGAAAGCCACTGCCAAACTCTTTTGAAGCAATATCAGCTCCATATTCCACTGTGACATCCTCTTCAATAGTACTAACAAGTCGCCAAAATTCTTTCTCAACCAATTCTGTGGGGACCATCTAGGTAGGAGAAGAAAAAAAAATTAAATATACAAGCGATATATGTTCAGAAATCAGCATATAAAAGGCACTAGCTTAAAGCACTTCAACAGTCACTTCAGCAAGAAAAAGCAGTGCAGCAGAAACCTGGTGACACCTAGGATATGCATTCACTCTGGGCTCTCAGCTAAGCATAATAGTTGGAGAATATACTCTTCCTTAAAGACATTTTTTAAAGTGAAAAATTGAAAACCCAGTGAAGCCAAAAAGAACAAAACCCTTCAATTTATTGATGTGAGTTAGAACATCCCATTTTGTACTTGTTCCTGCTTCACACTAGAATTCCTCTCCCCTCCTCAAGTTATACACTTGACTAAGCACAGAAAAAATACACCTACACGCTGGCATCAGGATAAATACACAAACATACGTGTACTGGCATGTTGAAATAGTCCGACTTGAACGCATCTGCCATCTCTCCAAACGTGCGAAGCGTGTAGTCTCTTGCTGCTTGTTCAAAACCAAATGCTTCTTGAGGTTTATTACACTCCTGCAATTAATAACATTATTATTTCTATATTGTAAGACGATCAGCACCAGCATTCACATTTTGCCAGGAGGGGTTAGTATCAACCATTTCTTTCACCCTCAACCACTCTGTCAGCCCAATTTCAATAACAAATTATACTTCCAATCACTAAGATCAAGGAAAAGAACAGAAAATCTCCCACCCAACTTTAATGTTTTCTCAAATTACCTGAGCCAGACACTGGGGACATCTCCAGTCCCCTTTTGGAACATCATGAAGGGGTGGAATTAAACAAAAAGTATGGTAACTGTCATCACAGCCATCACACAACAGGAGACGGTCCTCGTCATTGCCGCTGCCGCACAGGAGACAGACATACAAATCCACCTGCAATGGAAAACAGCAGGAGTGGGGACTTGAGCACTTAAGGTAATGTATGGTGAAAGAGCAGTCTGGCAAGTCAGCTAGGACATTTAATGAAGCTTATTTTTATTTGAATAGTTGAAAGGGAAATGAGATAAACTTTTTATTTTATTTTTACACACTTTTTTAAAAAATCTGAGAGTTCCTTTGACATTTAATAAAGGACCATAGGAACCACACAAGCCATTGTACGCAGCTTTTTCTAAATGACAAAAGATTTGACTTAATATACTCAGGAGTTTTAATTAGCTGTATTGCAGATTTTAGAACTATGTTATGACAGCTATCAGTGGCTCACATATCCTTTCTCTTGTCCTTATTCAAGAGCAACTTGTACACAGATGTTTCAGTCTCCTCCATGGCCAACAGGTGAGCACCTGAAGAACAGAGGGGGTTGATCCCAATTGGAGTATTCCTCTTTTTCCTAAGAGATATTGACCAAGACTTTGGAAAGCACATGCTGTGGGATAGAGGGCAGCTGCGAAACAAGTATGAAACAAGTCAGGCAGCAGTTACACAGACCCAAGAAAAGCTGCAAGGAAAAGAACTGCCTGTTACCAATTGTTACCCAGCAGAGGCTGCAGGTTCATTGACGACCAGATGGATGGCTCGTCTCAAATACAGAAAACTAGCAAGGACAAGACGACCTACTTGTCTTACTTTGGTAATAAATAAATAAATAAAAAGCAAACAGCGGATTTTTTTTTCTGAAAGGATTTCTGATGTTTTTACATTTCATCTTAAGATGCATCTTCCTTAGCCAGAGAAGCTAAGGACACTTCGTGTCGGTTTGCTTGCCTGCTTGAGGGGCTGGGAGAGGTGTTAAGGAGCAGTTGAACAACAACGATCCCAAGTAAGTGGTGAAATTGTAGAATAAGAGCCAAGTGTCCAGGACAGCTGAGTGTTTGTATTAAGTCAATGTTTGTATTAAGAACTCCCCTTAAGAAGACAAAGTGATGGGGCAAGACAGCAGATCCCAGAAGAATCACTTTTCTCTGGACTGTTCTTTCAAAATGCCTATTTTGAAACGGTATTTGCGTACAGGAGACAAGTTACTTTATAAAAACAAAACAACTATTCTATTATGTTCAGGTTTATAACAGCTTTGAAGGTATCTAGATGAAAAATACAGGAGAGCCCTTAACATGATCTAAATTACATTAAATTTTACTACATACCCAAGAGAAATGTTGAAAGCTTGCAAGTTAGCAGAAAGAATGCAGGACATACTCACAGCATTAGTGGGTTTTTTAGATCGAGCTTTGGATTTGTCTTTCTCTGGCTCCCCAGCGTGTTCTCTCTTCTCAGGAAGTTTCACTGTGCTATGAATTTCCTTTTCTGGTAAAACAGAAAAAAAAGTATAAAGCAGTTAGAAAACGTCTTACTGCTCAGCATTACTCATTATTATTTGCTTTATTTGTATTACTTGTCTCATTGCATTATTTGTTATCTTTTGAATTATTTGCTATCCCAAGCACATTGGGGATATTCTCTTTCAAATGGAAGATTTATCATGGCTAAAGGTTGACACTAACCACCAGCGGCAGCTGCAAGCTCAGAAACAGTTTTGACCTCTCAGAGTTTACTCTGAGGTATGTGCAGAGATGCCCCATTTCATGATGTTGCTGTATTTTAAGTACTTTTAAAGACTATTCATTTTTGTAACCTAAAATTATATGGTGTTAATGAATTGGGTTGAACTACTCTGACAGTTGTCCTACCCATGACGTGGAAAAACACTACAGTTTCCTGTGATCATTTTTCCACACCCATTTCTTACAGTGGTCTTCCACAAACGGGCTTTGTTGAAGACAAGCATGTGACAGAAGCCACCCTGAGAAAGGAATCAATTCCACTCCCTGTTACACCCTCCTCTCCTACTGCCTCTTAGGAAGCAAAATGACACGTTCCTCAAAGTAGAGGAAAACTATCCCCCGTGCAGCCTAGCAGTATTTGCTAAAAAAATGAAGCACTGTGATATTTACGAACTCAGAACTATGGCATGCCATCACAGATGAAGTCTGTGTGAGAGCATCTGGTCGCCTCTATTAAGTTGTCCCATAAAAACAAACAGGCAACTAATGATGCATCGAGATAAACAGAGATGAAAGTATTTTCAGATACTGCCAATTTCTAGTGAGAACAACAGTTGGGTACCCGAATCACTGCTAGCAACTACCTGAAGCTCTATAAATCGATACTGCATCTATCAAGAAGGCAGCAATTAAAGAAGACTCTTGACAACTATTAGCCATTATTGGACAGTATCCAGACAGTCTGCTCATATGCATTTATTTCTGGGATTGACCTTCACATGGAGGTTGCTTAATCAGAGCATGTTGCTACCAAAATCTTCACTCCTGGATTAGCAGCCCACCCCATTTCCCATACAGCAGAACTTGTGTTCAGAAAACAGGAATCCTCACACTACCAGCAAGCTGAAGGTTTCTTGTTTGGACATGAAATAACCTAAAACACTCTTTGAAGTCCAAGAAGCTAATGAAAATTTTATGAAAAAGAATGTATCTGCCTATCAGAAATTTAATGGTTAAAGATGGTCTAAATCATTTCCCTTTGTCTTTTCAGGACAAAAAAATGTAGTTCCCATAGGACACTTTTTCTCTTTAACACCAAAACCACCAAATGAAAAGTTCGCAATCAACAGGTAACTTATGGAAAACAGAGTTTGAATGAAATGGAAGACTAACAAACTGCTAAGACATTGTTAATAATTAACGTAGCTATAAATAGTTCTCATATTTACTTTGACAAATTGATTAACAATTTTATTATTCGGTTTTGTGCCACTAAACAGCTCTCAGCTCAAAAATATTCATTTCTTCAAAAAGATGGTAAGATGAGATTATTAAAAAAATTAAAAATCAGAATATGAGATTTTAATAACAAATTCATAACATATTTTATATCTTCCCAAGTTTTCTCAAGAAAGCAAGCTTGATTATGAATTAAAACTCTTAAGAGTTTGAAATCTGATGTCTCCTAAAACATTACCTCTATATAAGGATAGATTGACATTAGCTAAAGCACAAAACAAAGAAATATTTCAAATATCATTTCTGCCCACTCTAAAGACAGTGATGTTTAAACAAGTAGATTTTTTCTCAAATTATTTTATTAAAAAAAAAACAAAAAAAAAAACTAAAACACAAACATACCCACTCACAAAACAAAACAACAACAAAATTCTAAAGCCATAAAATGCTTCCACAATACAATCACACTTTGAAAATTGCCTCATTTTCATTCACTCCTTACTTGCCACTCACCATTTTCACACTTTGGAGGTGCACATCCCATTCGACGTCTTAGATTATGAGTTCGGACTTCAGGAGGTTCAGATTCTGTTTTGATATTAGTGGACTTAAAAATAAATAAATAAGTAAAAGTCAGCAGTGTAGTTAAATAGAACACTTCAGTTTTATACTTGGAAAGCTGTTAATTCCCATTTAAACTCCCAAATAGAGCTGCTTACCCAACTTTAGGGCTATGCTTTTTGATTTACCAGCCTACTCTAAACACTGAAAAAACACTCTAAATCCTGAAAACTGGCAAATATATGCAATGCTCCAGGAAAGGCTGCACATCCCAACAGACCCAGGTCTCTTTGAACTCCCCATCTCAATAACGCACTTTTTGAGACTATCAAGAGTATCTTGCCATACGCATACAAATACTTAGATATGCTTAACAATGATGAGGCAAAGGTTAAATTGGTAGCAACTCTGCATACACATTTAGTGATCTGATCCATGTAGAGACAAGTTCTCACCTCTGCTCTCAGGCGTTTTGCTCGACGAGCAGGTGGACAAGTTTCAGATGGCTGCACCGACTGTCTCTGTGGAATATCATGGGGCTTATACTCCTTGTCCTTTGTGTCACTGGTGAGGTCTGGCTTCTGCAAACACTGAAGAGACAAAAAATTCAATTAACTGATTCCTGTATCCACTTCTAACACAAGGCTTTGTGGGGTGCAATCCCACATTCCGGATAACATGAAAAAATGCAGAAATTTAATGTTTATTGTGCTGAGTTAACAGAAAGTTAGTATTGATGACAGTTGTAACAGTCCCTGTTTGAACAGGCAAGGCACAAAGTCAGTATTTTCTGCCATTTTACTGAATGCAAGAGCTTTCACAATAAAGCTGAAATCATCCTTTGAACTTTATTAACAAACTTATTCCAACTTATTAACATATTTCAGAATGCTATAAATAAAAATTAAACCAAAGCAATACAGAGAGCAGACAATCTTTCATCACAAGCCTTTCTAGTTTCCTCTCAGTCCCACCCACACTGCTCCAGCAGCCCGTGCAACGTGGGGCTTTCCTTAGCTCCAGCTCTTGCAGTAGATGATCCTGTTGCAGATTGTAACAAGAGCGTTCTGGAGGTGGCTGCAAGGTCCTCAGCTTGCCCTGCTGTACCGCCAACACGCAGAGCAAAGTAAAAGCGACTTGCAACCTGCCAGAAAGCTCTGCCTTAGCTGAAATACATTTTTTTTTTCCTGAAGAACATTTCAGGAGTTAAGTTCTTTATATATTTTAGAGAGGATCTTTAAAAGAGTCCATACTGCTGCTGTATGAAATTGAGCGGAGAAGACAAGGATTCAACATTGCTTTAGTTCAAGTCACTGAAAAGGCACATTTCTATTAATTCCTGAAAATTGCATACCTTTGGCAATAAATATCACGATTCGTGACAATTGTCAGACTTCACAACATACAGTAACATTTTACAAAAAAACCCTAATTCTTAATGAGCAAGCAAAGAGTTCTAAAGAAACATGAAATCTTAGGTTAAAGCATAGTCATCAGTGGAAACTATCTCATCTTGTATTGCTTCCTTTGCAGAAAAGGAGTCAACGGATACAGCAAGTACTCGCAATTAAAAACATTTGGTGAGTGCAAGCACTAATCTTTTATGGATGATGATCCTGGCCACATGAAGAAATTCTCTCCAAAGGCTTGTTGGAATATCAAAAGATGGAAACACACATCTGAAACCGACAGCTGTCAAATCCAATAGCTGTATCTTCTCCAAAAACAAAACTCACAGATGCTCAGATTCCCAGTAAAGCATTGAACAGACGTACAATAAAATGGACACCTACACGAGAAGCATCTGGGAAAGCACCACTTATTGGGAACACATGGAAGAAAGCCAACAAGATAATCTTAGATGAGTTTCTTCCTCAAAAACGTATTGCAAAACAAACTGAGTTGGAAGACAACATTGGTAGAAAGAAAAAATAGTCAAAAAAGTGCCAAATCTCAGTGTGAAAAATGTTCTAAACCCAACATATTTCTGTGGATTCTCTCAGTTCATTGAAAAGATGCATAAATATCACATATGAGAGGAGAATAGTCTAACAGCTTTGCGGGGAGAGTTTTAAAAAAATGAACTTAAATATACATCAGAACTGCATGATCCACTAAACATATCAGTTTGAAACAAATATCAGATACGTGTTGTACAAGAGAGCTTGGAAAGCTAAAGAGCAGCGTGACGAGGTCACGAGCAGCCATTTGAGAAGGCTTTTCCTTGGAAAAGCACCTTCCCTGAGCAAACCAGGACGTGAACGCCAACTGCATGAGAGACTTGCATGGTGGACCTACTTCATCAAGAAAGTCTGTGGTACTAGTTATTTTTTAAAAAACTTTAATTAGATTTTCCTCAGTGTAATTGAGCCTCAAAAATAAAAGAGAAAAGGTAGATGTCACAAAACACCATTAAAATCATAATAATAATAATAAAAGAAAAAAGAAAAAAAAAAGAAGGGAATCCACTGCTTTCAGAATTACTAAAATGTGAAGTATTCAATGAAATGTCTTGGAATGTCTTCATCGAATGGTATGGCTTTCCACTGCTTAACACGAATACGCTTGAGGCAAGGCAAGATATTCTTGGTAAATCGGAAGGCTTGTATTCAAATAGATTTTGTTCTTGTTCTTCATTTGTAAAACATCTAAAGCTACACAAATTACTTATTTTTAAGAGTGTGAAGTATACAGCTGTTCTTCACTTGAAAGTGATCATCAATAGCTAAGTAAAAAGCCTTCATTTCCAACCTTTCTTATGTCAAAATCTCATTTTTGTAGCTTTATGTAAAAGGCTAGTGCTGTTTTCTGTAGATGAAGACAAGCCTGTAACAAGATTAAGAGGGTCTTGCTTTAAAGAAAAAAAAAAGGTAATCTCTCCGCTTTTTAAAAGCACAGCATGGTAGGAGTGTTAAAAATCCATAAAAATGGTTATTGACAACTTCAACCCATCATAGCTTTCCAAATAAATGACTGCTGCTCAAAATTTAAATAAAATCTATTCTTGATTAGAGATTATGTTTCTATCCTCAGTCAACCACGAATTTTGTTTTAATGGCTAAATGTTAAGCAGAAAGGATAAAGATTTAAGCTTTGCAGAACTCAGAAGCCCTACTGTTCACTACATTACATCCATGAAGTATTCTCAAGCATGAATGACCTTAGTAAAAGCAAGATGACTAATTGCTACAAAATTGGCAAGGTTTGATATAGTTCATCAGTCATGTTGTGTTCAAATGATAAAGATCCAGAAGAGACTTATTCAATCAGAAAAATGGACGGACAATGCTCTGTGAATACAGTAATATTTTGCGTTACATAAAAAAGCATTAAAGAAATCATCCCAGAAAGTCTGAATATTTGTTATCATGAGGCTTCTATATGCTGCAGAAGAAAATATAGATAAGTAGCATTCAAAACAGTAAGAGGTTACCCTCAAAAGATGAGATTAAGGAAGTTCTCAAAACTTTGTGTGTAATACAAGTTTACTTATGCATATGTAAAATGCTTTTATCATCACCATCTGTCACCTGCATGCCATAAAACATAAGACACAGTTTTTGGAAATGTTCCACCAATAAAAGAAAAAAGACACTGTCTGCTAAATTAGCAGGCTTTTAGCTAGCTACAAGACTTACCAGTAAGCTAGCTCCAGACTGGAATAAGTTGTAAGGGTAGAGAATACGTTCGTAATGTGCACGGATGTGGGAACCCACTGCTTTGCCAGGAGCAAATCCCATTCTGGTGGCTATCTTGGTCCATTTTCTCTCTTTGCAAACTACATCAAATCCTCCTTCTTCTGCAACTAGCTAAAAAGAGAAAACATAAGGATTGTGCATTTAATACTAAAGTGACCAAAGTTTAAGAACACAATTTCTGCCTTAACAGAAGACACCTCCTGATGTTACCTGCTACTTGAAGCCATCACGGTATGTTTTTCTTAAATGTGAGAATCGTTCAAAATCTACAAGCTGACTACATAACCTATTCATAAAGCATGAAGTTTTTTGCATTACTTTACAAACAAGTCAGCATCACTGCTAGATGACCAAACAATAGTTCAGTCTACTTCCGAGAAACAGAGATTACAATTTGTCACTCTACTAATTAGCTGTTGAAACAAGTTACAAATACAACTTTTCTGCACAGTACAAATGGTTCCTCTCACTAGAACATATACTATGAAATGGGTTTAAAATCAGTCACATAAAATCTACCCTAAATATAAAAAGAATATATCTTGGAAACAGTGAACCACACACCTTGCTTTCACATTATACAATTTCATCCAAAGTTTAAGTTTCATCCAAAAAATAATTTGGATTTTTTTGCCCCCCAAACCGAAGAAGTTACTCTTCACTGCCCTCACTGTGCAGAAGCTTTCTCCAATTCAGCCTAAGTTTTTTCTTAACCAGTTTGTATCCAAGTTCAACTTGAAAAAGGATTTCAAAGTGCTCACATAAAAACCCACACTATATTACATTTCCTAGTATTTTGTGCTGCATTTGCTATGTTATGTCAACCGAAATACTTTGTCTAGCTTAGATAGACCGCCAAATCTCCTCAAACAATTGTGAAGAAACACAGATAATATAATAGCTTTTTTCCCCCCGTAACAACAATCTTACTCTATTAAGCTGAAACAAATCCAAGATCTTCCTCTCCACGTGTGGAATTTTCAGTGTGCATCCCTGAAGTTCCCAAAACTTTGCAATCTGGTCCAGGAAATTCAGTTTTACACGGGTCTGAGCCTGGAAAAAGAAGAATGAACTGCATACTGAATGCAGATTAAGCCCCTATTTCCCAGTGTTTATAACGTTAACAGCCTCAGTTGCCTGCCTGACTTTTCCTCTCTACACATATAGCTTTGCATTTTATTCCTCACGTCAACCCAGATGCAGAAGAGAAAAGGAAAAAAAAAATCCATACAGATACCACCTGTTTTTCCTCAGGTCACTTATTAACTTTCTGTACTGCATTTAGGCTTGTAATCAGTTTTTACTGTGAAAAACTACCTAAACACCAGGAACTCAGATAGTTTATGATCAAGTAATTTTGTTATCCCTTTTCACTCTTAACCACATTTGCTTCCTTTTTGTTGATATAAACTGGTCAAGGTAGGGAAAAGATAAGCCTGGTATGTTTGTCCAGTACTTCACACAGTAAGATTGAGTTCCGATTTGACTGTTAGTGTGTTAAAGAGTAGTAGCTTTGACTTAAATCCTATGACATTTCAATGTCGTCACATTTTTCTATTCTTAACATAAGCAAAGGCTTTGTCCATACAACAGACTAGCTTGTTCTTAAACTCCTCCAGTAAGAGCTCTAAACCCATCCGCGCCCAATCTCTCCTTTTCTTAACATCTGAATCCAGTGCTGGAGCTCATACCTTGACACTTCACACAGCCACATCAGGATTTTAAAAAGCCAGTATCCTCTCCCCATGTAAAATATCAGGCAGGCAAAATGTCCCTGTCATTTCAGTTCTTATCAGTAATGAGTTAAGCAGGACTTCTCGCTATTCCCTTTAGTCTGAATTCACAAAAGCAGTGAATGCATGTGCTTGTGAACAGCAGATTTCAGACCCACAGAACCCACATTCTGTAGCTGTTCTCCTTCCAAACAGCTTTTTATCTGTACAGCATTTCGTGTTTCATCTCTTCTACATTTAAAAGATGCTGTAGATGAGCAAAATGCAAACCTAAATGACAGCACTTGAAAGTTGGAATGTAATAACTAAGAAGCACCTCTAAGTGGAAATGGTCTGAGTTTCATTCCTTTAATGAGCATTAATTTTAGCTTTTATGCTTGTTATTTTTAAAATATATTCTGAAAGAGCTAATTTCAGAATGATTATCAGTACAAAGTGCTCTCAGCTGAAGTTAGCAGGAGTTCATGGTGAAAAGATGAAGAAAAACAAACACACACAAAAATCACTCATCTTTTGAAAACCTCTTAAGAAACATTTAGCTTTACAGTTTACCTCTAGTTCATTGAGTCTCTGGATCCTTGGAGTGAAGTGAAGCTTATCGACATCACAGGCAAATGGAGGCTGCCAGTCCTGGAAAGAGAGGAGGGCTTCCATCAAAAGACCAGGAAAAGAAATACAATTTCTCTGTGTTCCACTCAAAAGCTGGATAAACCTGAAATTGGAGTAAAGCGAATCCAAACCAGGCAGTGGATTATAAGAGGAGGATTATAAAATGAGCATGGAAGTGGCCTTTGTGGCTTGCAAATCTTTCTTAGCACCAAAATGTTCTGCACGTGATCCCTTATGGTGTGCAAATGACCACAGCATCTCCCCATAAGCAAGGGCTCCATCTGGTCCTGCCACTGGTCTCGCTCCCCCCATGCTTTCAATTTTGGTGAGCTCTGTTTTTGCTCCTGAATTACTCCATTTTCTTGAGTAGGAGAAATCTTAGGAAGGAGAAAACAAATAACGTATCATTGTAAGTCACTGTCCCTCTCTCAAATCTTTCCCAATGTGTCTTTGAAATAGACAGGTCTCAAAATCATGAGACAAATAACACGAGATTAAGCCTTCAATTTGACACCAAGTCAGTCCATGGGCTTTCTACACGTACTGGTCAGCAAAGGGCCTGGCACACACTATTTGCCCCAGCCTCAAAGACAATCAACTGTCACTTATTTAACAAGTCTGACATTCCTACCATGTGAAACATGGCAGGAAAAAAAAGTGAAATTTCATAAGCTACACTGTAAGCTGCAATGTCTGCTTTGAGTGGGAAGGCAATCATCTGGTACCAGAGACTTCAAATGCTCATAAAGGACCCAAGAGGAGCAGTTGACTCTCATAACTGATTGTCTCAGAAATTAAAAACAATAAAAAGTTTATTTTCCCAATTCCTTGTGCATAAGCACTGCATAACAGCTGGTACATGACCAAAAAGGGGAAGGGAAAAAAAACCCTACTACTTTGACAAAATACCTGCAATAGCAGTGTTACATATAAGTAAGGCTGTTTCTTCTTTCACACTTCTGACACCTCACACATGCAGTTGGTTTGGCAATACAGTGCTCCACTAAAACAAATTAGGTTTGATTTAAGCTTGACAGCAATTTATTTTATATAAAGCTATCATTTTATCACTAATTGCCCAGTGAAGATAACAGGCATGAGAACCATTGATAGAAAGTTCTCCTGTCTTCCTCTGCTATCTGGAAAGAAAATAACCTTTCCTCAATTGAATTGAAATAAAATCAGCATCACAAGCAGAATATTTGCTATTTTAGCAGAATTACTCAGCATGAAAACTGGTTATTGTCAAAACCAACCATAACAGATGTGCAAGGCAATTATGTACAAACATCCAGGCTCACTTCTGTGTTGTGACAGGATCCTGCCTTATCACACGAAACAAAGTCTGTGGCAGAACCAGGGATTTCAAAATCAGAGAGAAGTGATGTAAGAATCTTGGAGACTGTGAAAACCCTGAGGAGCAAAGAGGAATAATGAGACAAGCTTTTGATCCAGATATGGTGACAAATCCAGATCTCTCAGTTTTTTATAAGGGAAATCTCTGATCCTACCAACAAGGTCAGGTTAAAATCCAAACTCAAAATGGAAGCAAGATGACAACAGCAGTCACAATGGCAAATGCTGAAGCAAATGGGCAATTCTCAAGAGTTCTGAACGCTTCTCGATCATTTTCTTACATACGACTAAAACCAGCATGTAATATCATGATGCTTTCATTTACAACCAAAAATTAACTCTACTTTTATTGACCATTTTGTTTGCCAGCACACTGAATATGGGGAAATTCAAAGTCTGACGTCCTCCCCTCCGCATCGCCAGAAGTTTGGCACTTTTTTGCAATGTTTGGGTATCTACCAATGAATCTACAGGAAGAGAAACACCAACTAGGAAATTTTAAGGCAAGACCTGTACTCTACTTAGGTGAATCGGATTTTCAAGCTGAACTGACTGTTAGGTCATTTAGCAAAATTCCAGGGTTTGCAGCGTGCACAAAGATAGAAAACAGGCAAAAAGAGCAGGAAAGAACAAAGGAACGTTATGACACACACAACAGCCATGGAGTGTTTTGGGAAGTGAAATTAAACTGCCCAAGACGGCTGAAAAAAAAAAAATGCAAGGGAAGAAAATGTGCGGGCTTTTTAGCAAAGCAGCAAGTCCATGTTCTAGAGGGGTGAGCCGTAAGTTGGAAAATAGATCCTGTACCAAGGATAAAGAGCACAGAACGAGAATAAAGAACAGGAATTCAGAGGAGCACGTACAGCAATGACAATGCTGATGATACTGAGCCTTGTGTGCGAGGCTCCACTACAGAGCTGCTTCCTGCAGTAAAGGACTAGGTTTAACGATACTGAACATCAGACACGCCTGAACATAGTTATTTTATCAAGGGAAATGTTAGAAGCCCGAGTGATTGGACACAGGACTTCTGCTCTGCTAAGAGAAAGTTTCTTAGTCCAACAAACAGATAGCCCAGCAGTGAGAAACAAATATTTAATAGCCTAAAAGAGTGTGACTCTTAGCAAGAAGAAAGTCACCACAATTTTTGTAGAGACATGATACACACTGATACACTCAGTGCCTCAGCTCCTAAACAAACGCCACCACCAGATGTTCTCAGCCCTTCCATAGAAACTTAGTTAAAAAAAAATAATAAATAAATAAAACACACTTGTACGTAATCTGAAGCAGAACTTCTCAGCCCTTCCATAGAAACTTAGTTTTTTAAAAAAACACACTTGTATGCAAGCTGAAGCAGAATCTGCTAAGCAAAGCAAGACCTTCATGACTAATAGAGCAGCACCGCAAGAGGGTGCTGTGTTTTGCAGAAAAGCTAGTCCTGCAAAACAACCAATTCTCACTGAGACGGCAGCGTGTACAAATCAGCTCCACACGCTGCCTTCCCTAAAGATCTATGAATAAATAAAACTGGCCATTCCCACCCAGGGCTTACTTGTAAGGGCCTCAAAAGCAATTGGTCTGGATTTCTTCCTTTTAACACACACACACACAAAAATGTTTAAAAGTATTGAGGCCTTTTTTTCTTTTTCAGCAATGCACAAGACTTAAGAATACAAGCATCAAAAGGAACTGAAATCCTAGAAATGTGGAATTTTATGTTGTACAGCTCCCTTACCTGAAATTAATTTGTTGCTTTCTACTACTCAGTTTTATCATTAGAAGCCTGCAAATAAGGGAACCCATCACCACTTGCCTATGCTGGCATGCATTTCTGCATTTCTTAAATTCTCATTGCCTTCACAAATATAGCCCCGTGCAAATGTTACAGTCCCAGCAGAAAAAACATGAATATAAGATCATACAAAAGAAGTGACCAACACTAAATTTTGCAACTTTTAACTTTATGAGCAAATCAACAGTGAAGAAGGCACCTGCAAGAATCATGTTCACATTAACAGCCCAAGTTGTGGTATAAAGTGCAAGCAGTCAGCTGTATTCATCCTTTCAGATATACAGAAAAGGGAGTATCAGACTTCCAGCTGGTGAATCTAGCACTTCATCTGAATGCAATACTAATTAAAACGTAAGGACAGTCAGTCTCCTTCAGCACCACCTTCCTCTCCACCAGATTCAGGGAACCTACCGCTACGCTAGCAGACTTTTGGTTGTGATCTTTCCAATGCCACACAAAAAGTGGCACTTCCATTATTTTGCTAGACAATGTCTCGTAGCCAGATCCCAAAGAATCTCTTGGCAATTCTTGCCATAGAAACAAGGCATTCATTCAGTCACAGCGCTGCCCGGCTTCCCAGGATGCCCACCCTGCGCGCGTGACCTACATCCTTTGTTGCGAGATCTGTCATCCTCCCTGGCAAAGGTGTGACGTGATTCTTGTCACCAAGAGGAAAGGAACAGGCTCAGTGACTCTGGAGGTCCCTTTCAGTCTTTTGTTTTTATGGCTGTATTAAAAATGTGTTTAAAAGAGACTTGAATCATCACAGGATCTACACAAAGTGACACAGACGTGATCCGGTACTACTTATTCCAATGGTGTCAGTGTGCCACCCACAAATCTTCCCTTTTGGAAGGGGAGCTAATCCCTCTTTGACCCCGTTAAAAGGCTAACGTTAGTTGATAATGCCAATCATCAGCTCACCTACTTTGTGGTGACGCAACCCGTGCTTCGTAATTTCGAGCGCAGGTGATTTTTTAGCAAAACCATCCAACTCTTCCTTGCTAAGGAAGGGCCTTGGGTGCAGCAACGCACCTCGCACGCAGGACTCTCCAGTGTGACAGGCTCGGTGGAGTATGGCCCAGCTGAGATAAAAACAGGGCTGTGTTATGCAGGCTGCACGATGCAGCTCAGCACAGGAAAACACCAAAAGCACAAATCCTTCCCATGTGAGGACCACTGGCTGCCAAATAGCCAAGCTTGCAATGGGCATCATCTCTCTAGCCCCAAGCATTTTTGCCCCAACAACAGACACAAAGATAAATGAAAGCCGAGGTTAAGTAAAAGACTCTCGAGTGTCAGAGCAGGCTGTCCCTTGGCACCCAACGGTGGCCCTATAAGGACGGATGATGAAACTGTCTGCAGGGCTTAGGCATCGCAACAGAACAGGTAGCAAGGTTTGCACACAGGCCCCGAGGACTACAGCTGTCCTTGTTGGAGTCTCGGTAGATGGACCCCATCCAATCCTGTATGTCCATTTCCAGACATGTCTGACTGGGGAGTCACACTGACAGCACAGATAACTCTGCTCAAAGGGTTTCCACCAGAGACTTCTAGAAATAGTCTCTTCGGAGCCACATTCTGAATTATCAAATCTGGATTGTAACCCCAATTTAACACAGATTACAGAAGGATGTGCTATTAAATCACAATAGCCATCTCGGAATAACCGCACATGTAGATGAGCTAGATGATGCTACTGGTTTTAAACAAGCAGCTAATAAATCAAAATACAACCTGAAATGAAACCTCAGCTGGCTACTAATCTAACTCTGTCTAGGGATTTTCTCTACACATTCCCATCTCGGCAAGAGCAAAAGGCTCCTACCCAAACTATTTACACGACTCTCACTTCAAGTTCTCTGTTCAG